TATAATGCAATCCCATTAAAAATACAAAGGGCTTTTTTTTGGTTTTGTTTTTTTTTTTTTTTTAGAGAGATATAGCACGAGCTGCGGGAGGGGCAGATGGAGAGGGAGAGAAAGAATCCCAAGCAGGCCTCACACTTAGTGCGGAGCTTGACTAGGGGCTCGATCCCACAACCCCGAGATCATAACCTGAGCCAGAATCAAGAGTCAGATGCCCAACCAACTGAGCCACCCAGGCACCCCCAAAATACAAAGTGTTTTTGAGATAGAACTAGAGCATACAATGCTCATGGGAAAATAAGCATGCAAATTCTTATCAAAATCGCAGCAACAACCACAAAATCCCAACAACATTTTTGCAAAAATAGAAAAATCTATCCTAAAATTCATATGGAATCTCAAGAGACCCAAATAACCAAAACAATCTTGAAAAAGAACAAAGTGCGAGGACTCACACTTCCTGATTTCAAAACTTAATGCAAAGCTGCAGTAATCAAAACAGTGTGGTACTGGCATAAAGATACAGAGACCAAAGGAAGGGAACAGAGTCCAGAAATAAACTCTCAAATACATATGGGTCAAATGATTTTCAACAAGGGTGCCAAAACCGTTCAGTGGGGGAAAGAACAGTCTTTTCAACACACTGTGCTAGGAAAACTGGATCTCCACGTGCAGAAGAATCCAACTGGACCCTTACCTAACCCCATACATAAAAATTAACTCAAAATGGATCAAAGATCTAATGTAAGAGCTGAAACTATAAAACTCTTAGAACAGATGGGGGAAAGCTTCAGGACAGTGGATTTGGAAATGATCTGGCTATGACACCAAAGGCACGGGCAACAAAAGAAAAAAAAACAGACAAATTAGAACCCATCAACACGAAAAACCTTGTGTCCTAGTAATATAAAGGACGCTATCAACAGAAAAAAAAAAGGCAAACCATGAGATGGGAGAAAGTACCATATATCTGATGAGGGATTAATATCCAGAATATATAGACAACTCATAAAACTCAACAACAAAAACCAAACAGCTGGATTCAAATACGGGCAAAGAATTTTAATAGACATTTCTCCAAAGAAAGACCTACTAATGGCCAATAAGCACATGAAAAGATGTCAACATCACTAATCATTAGGGAAATGCAAATAAAAACAATGAAATCCCGAGGCACATCCATTAGGATGACTATTCAGAGGAAAAGAAGTGATGGTGAGGATGTGCAGAAATGAGAACCCTGGTGCCCTGCTAAGGCAGCTGGATGATGGCGTCTCAGAGATTTCAAACAGGGCTTCGCACGTGCCGCTGACGCCACCCGTAGCTGCCCTGTACCACCCTGCCACGGTCAACCCCATGATGTTCTAAGATATTTGCCATCAAATTTGTCCTTGGGCCATGTATCTTTCGAGCCGTTTGCAAAGTTCTAAAGAGAGCCAAAAACTTCTGTGCTCTGAGGACTGGAGAAGAAAGGATTTGGTTATAAAGTTTCCTGCTGTCACAGAATTAGGGGGCTCATGTGCCAAGGTGGTGGCTTCACACGCCATAATGGCACTGGCGGCAAGTCCAGCCAGAGGGAGAAATCTGATGATGAGTATTCCAGCCTGAAGCAAACGGGTCCTGGCATCTTGTCCGTGGCAAATGTGGGACCCAACACAAATGTTCCCAGTTTTCCATCCGCACTACCAAGACTGAGTGTTTGGGTGGCAAGCATGTGGTCTTTGGCAAGGTGAAAGAGGGCACGAGTTCCATGGAAACCATGGAGTGCTTTGGGTCCAGGAATGGCAAGAGCAGCAAGAAGCTCACTGTTGCCGACTGTGGACAACTCTAATAAATTTAATGTGTGTTTTATCTTAACTACCAGATGGTTCCTTCTCCCGTCTGTTCATAATGGCCTACTATCTGTGCTTTTACTGCAGTTCTTTGGGTTCCATGTTTTCCATATCCCTCTCCAAGTCTAGATGGATTGCAGAGTTAAGTTTATGATTATGAAATAAAAACTAAACGACAACAACAAATAGAATTACCATATGACCTAGCAACTCCACTTCTGGGTATACACCCAAAAGAACAGAAAGCAGGGACACGAAGAGAGATTTGTACACCCACGTTCACAGTAGCCAAAATCTGGCAGCAGCCCAAGTGTCTATCCCCAGATGAGTGGATAAACAAGATGTGGTATATGCACACAATGGAATATTACAAGGAAAAAGAGGAAGGAAATTCCCACACCTACTACAACGTGCATGAACCTGGAAGACGTTATGCTCAGTGAAATAAGCCAGACACAAAAGGACAAAGCCCGTATGAGTCTCCTCATATGAGGTACTGAGAGCAGTCAAATTCACAGAGACACAAAGTAGAATGGTGGTTGCCAGGGGCCAGGGGGAGATGGGGATGGGGATGGGGAGTTATTGTTTAACGAATACAGGGTTTCACAAAGTTCTGTGGATGGTTGCACAACAGTGTGAATGCACTTACTTCTACTGAGCTGTACACTTAAAAACAGTTAAAATAGTAAATTTTACATTATGTATATTTTTCCACAGTTTTAAAAAATAACTAAAATAGATAAACATGTAAGAATAGTCAGGAAAACACTGAAAGGGAATAGCTACAAAGGGGGCTGGCCCTACAAGACATTAAAACATACTGTAAAATGTCTATAATTAAACTGTAGTCCAAGTGCATAAATAGACAAATGGAACAATGGAAGAGAACAGAATGTCCCAAAATAGACCTGAGTACATATGAAAATTAGTCTACAATAAAGGTGGCATCTTAAACCACTGGGCCGAAGATGGAGGTTTTAATAAAGGCTGACAGGCATTTAATAAACCATTTAATAAATGCTGGTCATTTGGAAAAAGATAAAATTGGATCCATACCAGACACCATACATAAGGTAGGAACAAGGATATGAAACCATACAAGTACAGGAAGAAACCTTCAGTATGCGGAAGGACCCTCGAACTATGACTCAAAACCCAGATGTAATGGAAGAAATGATTAATAACATTGTTTAGATAAATATTTTTAAAGTCATATTGCAAAAATTACCATAAGCAAAGTCAAACTACAACTGACAAACCAGGAGAAAATATTTACAACATAAATCACAGATGAAGGACCAATATCCCTAATATATAAAGAACACTTAAAATCAGAAGAAGAAAAAAAGCTCAAAAGCCTGAGGGGGAAAAGAAAATGGGCAAAAGACATGAATAGGCAAGTCCCCAAAATATAAAATTTGCCCTTAATCATATGAAAAGATGGAAAAAATGTTCTGCCTCACTTATAACACTTCAGTCTTACTTATTACTTACCTTGCTCGCTTACTTATCTTCCAGACTGGCAAAAAATCACACAGCATGACAACACACTCTCCTCAAGGCTGTGGGGAAACAGGCATTCACATGCTGCTGGTGTATGCAAAAGGGCACAACCCCCATGGAGGGAAATTTGGCGACACCTAACCAAACTACTGATGGGCTTCCCTTTTGACTTAGCAATCCCGCTTCTCAGCTACCCTTAAAGCTACCCCTCCATCACTATGAACATAAAATGCACAAGATTTTTCACTGTAGCACTGTTTATGATTGCAACATCCTGGAAATGACCTAAATGCTTATATAATAGAGAATGGTCGAATAAACCACGGTAAGTGTGGTACATTCACACACTAGACTGCTCTGCGGCTATGAAAAAGAAGGAAGAAAATCTCACGAACTCATGTGGATTGATTTCCAGGATGTACCGGAAGTGAGAAAGGTAACATGCAAAAGGATATCTATGGTGTGCTGCTCTCCGAGTAGGAAGGAAGGTGGTCTAAGAATACACGTGTGTCCACTCATTTGTGCAAAAAGAAATACAGAAAGGACATAGCAGAAGCTAGTGACACTGGCTAGCTATGCGTGTGTGGTGGGAACAGGGTGGAAAAGGGGAGATGCAGAGAGGACAGAATGAATGGGGGTGGGGAGGGACAGATCCAAGGATACCTTTATGAATACTATATATCAGTGAGAGAAACAGACACAGAGAAAATATACATTACATGCATAAAACAAACGGACCACACTGTATTTCATCAAATGAACATAACCCACTGAAGGGGTGGGAAGAAAAGCAAATAACTTTTGAATATGGTATTAGGACTATATGCCCCCAGGGTGAAGAGAAAAGGAATACTAAATGTGTATAAGGTCTACTTAGTAAGGTTTTTCTTCTAAAGAGCATGAATTAGCAGTTTGAAACTACTTTCTGTGTATTCTAGGACTGAGCAAATATACTATGAACAATGAATGGGAGCTGGTTTTCTCCTGGAGAAAGAAGTAACAAGTATGTGTAAGTGAGAATGAGCCATGTGGTATTAGGGTCAATTTTAAGGTATCATTATGAACCCATGGTTTTTAATGGATGGATCAATAAATAGAAATAGACATGGGTGTGTATGGAGGTTATATGTAATAACAATATAACATAATGTCATAATATATGTATTCCCTGATTTGTCTGGTCGAAAAACCTCAAAGTAATGATTTTCCAGTAGCAATGAGAGTATCTAGTGCCCAGATCTTGGCTTCTAAATACCATTCCCCATTGAAAGGAACCAGGGCTCCTTGGAGAAATAGCTGATTTCAAGGCTGGGTCTGGGGATGTACAAGATGAGCCCAGAACTTCTTGCTGTGCCCAAAAGTATAGACGTGCTCAAAGAACAATAGGAACATATCAGAAGGACATAGAAATCAGCTTGAAGAGGCTCCCTCTGGCCAAATCTGGGATAATTTGGGCATCAAAATAGAAAACATTAGTAACAGATTATAACCCTTCAAATAAAATAAGAATCCGTGAGTTGTATTGATAATGAGAGATCTGGAGGTGAACAAGACACCATCTAGAGCCCAAGAAGTCCACAGCGCAGCGGGCGAGATAACCCACAGATGAGCTCCCAGAGGAAGTGATGTCCGGGGCGGGGAGGGGATGGGGAAGGGTCTGGTGGGGACTCACGAGGGCCCTTTGCGCATCCGGGGTGTGCTCATGGCCCACTGCCTGATCTTGCTCAGGCTCTGCTCACTGATGAGCTGGCGGCCCTCGGAGGGCATGCAGTCCACGTACAGATGGTATAGCAGCAGAGCCTCTGTGTTCTTGCGCAGGCCGTTGGCCTGGACCACGCGCTGCGTGAACACACGTGGGTCCTCGGCGCAGAAGAGCAGCTGGATCCGGGGCACCCAGTATTGGCAGGTGAGGAGGGGGGGCCTTCCTGGGGCCGGGTGGGAGGGAGAAGGGGACACAGAGCACAGTCAGACTCTCTGGGCTGGAACACTGGGCTCCAGCCTGGCTCTGTGGCTGAGGCGTGGTGGCCCTGAGCAAGTGGTCTCCCCTTTCTGACACACTGTCACATCTGTAGAATGGGCACACTCCTGGGGCCTGCCTGCCTCACAGTTTGCCATGGGTGAATGTGAAAGTGCTTTGTCAACTGTAAAGAGCTGGGCACAAAGAGTCCCCCGGGGCTGGCTGCCCAAGGGCCCATCCCTCACCACCACACCCGGTGGCAAACATCACTGATCGATGGACCTCGGATGCCTTCTCTGCAGCATGTGGGAAGTGGCACTGTCAGCGGCTCAGAGCGGGCCTATCAGATAATGGCCATTTGCCCTTCCTGGGGTCTCTCTCTGAGTGATGAGTCCTCTGGTTTTCACTGGTCAGGGGACAGACAGCCGCAGGACACACAGAGCAAGGCAGAATTCAGGCCTGATGGGGCTGTGCTGGGGGGTGGGGGTTGGCCTCAGTCACGGGCCTGCATGGGGGTCTGCGTGGGCTGGGGCAGAGAGCTCCCACCTTCAGCGGTGACCCCTCCGTTCAGGATGCGCTTCCCCGTCTCATCTCGCACCAAGCCGTTCTGGTCTGTCTTGTGCACCAGGTACAGCTTCTTCTCCTTGTCATAGTCCAGTACACCAACACTGCACCATTCATACTTCAGCTTCGGACTTTTGGGGTCCTCTGAAACAGGAGGGGAACCCGCCGATGCTCTCTGCCGTAGGGTCGGGCGGGGCCTCTGAGTGTGGGCAGCAGGTACTGGGAACGAGTCTCAGCGGCCACTAGTCTGGCCTCCCTCCCTCCAGGATGGACCCCCTCTAGCTCCAGCAAAGCAGGGACCCTGCTTCCTCCCAGCTGAGCTGGTGCCTGGGAGACTCCTGGTGAGGAAGAGCCAGAAGGACCAGGCTTCTCTGTCCTTGTGCTCTGTTTGACCCCTTTGGGGCAGACACACAGGCCAGCAGGGCTGGGACAGGAGGCAGGTGAGCCCCAGGCACAGAGACCTGTCGAGGATGTAGTTGTAAAGCTCCTCGTGTTTGAACTGGACCCCTTCAGGGTGACCAAGGCCAGAGTGAACCCCTTCCCGTGGGCTGCAGGTGGCAGTTGAGCCCCCAGGTCCCTCATATCAGGACAGGTCAGGGCAAAGTAGAAGATTACCATCCTACAGTGGCCCCAAAGTGGGCCTCAGGGCCTGTTGGTCAGGATGGGCCTCCCACCCACTTGCTGGGCTGAAAGCCTTTGCCCTATTCTCCAGCTCGTCTCCAGCCACTACCCGCCCTACACATTTCTCTCCAGCCATACTGCACGTCTGGCTCTTTCTGTGACTTTGGAGCTTATTCCTGCCTCAGGCCTATGCTCTCTGCCGGGAATAGTCTTTGCTCAGGTCACCTTTTTGCTGGTTTGTTCCTTGCTCAAATGGCTTCTCCTTGGAGAAAGCATCTCTGCCTAAAAGAGCACCTTTGCCCCAGGCACTCTCTGACTTGATACCCTATTTGTGTCCCTCACAGAGCCTAAAATCACACTATGTATGTATCCTATCCTGGTTCCGTTGGCCACCTCACACTAGGGACCGCTCGCCAGGGGCAGGCGTGACCTTGCCCGTGTTGGTCACAGCTGTTTCCCAGCACCTAGAATGGAAACTGGAACACAGTAGTGCTCCATATACTTTTGTAGAAGGAAGATGCACGTGGCACGGTGCCTAGCACAAGTGCCTTAAACTGATGGGTTCTACAGACTGGGCTGAGGAAAAACGGCTGGAATTCTGGTTGAAGCTGGAAAGACGAGTAAAGGGGCTTGCTGTGGTAAACCCCCCTGGCTTTGGTTCTGGTTTGCTTTTCCCTTCCCTTCCTTTCCTATAAGCTTCTTTTTTGAAAAGGCTTATCTATCTTGGCTCAACTCAGAGAAAAAGATGTCACAAGAAGCCCCCCACAGAACACCAGAGGTCTCTCGGGCAGAATCGCTTCCCCCCCACCCCACCCCCGACAGCCAGAGCCTGTGTGAAGGGGCGGAGCCTAGTGATGGGCGGGGCCTAGTGAGGGGGCGGGGCCTGTGTGAAAGGGCGCGGGCAGAACCACCTCGGGGAGGCTGGTACCCCGAGCATTTAAGGTTAATGCAGCCTCACACCTTCTGGTTTTATCACTAGGAATTGCAGATCTGGGAACAATTGAGTTAAATTATTTTTGTAATTAAGTCCAAAGTAAAGGGAACATTCTGGGTTTCTTGTCTAGTTCAGAGAAATTGATTCCAGCATTAACATATTTTTAAATCGAAACCTAAACTTACAGCCTGCTCAATGGACTTGCTGAGGGGCCCCCTGGAGGCTGCGCAGTCTTAAAACCAACCAGCCTGGCTCTCAGTCCCGGACGCAGCCCACTAGGGCGCGTTCCCCATCCCAAAGCGGTGTGTCCGCCCAGGGGGCAGGGAGCAGAGAGGCCCTCAGCCATGCACAGGGGGACAGCCACCTCCAACATCCAACCTCCTAACCTGGATCTTCCTCGGATGCCCACACGGAGACCAGCCACGCAGGCCAGGGTGGCAGTCAAGGAAGCTCCCCCTGGCTCTGTTCCCTCCAGCAGCAAACAGGCCCCAGGGCAGATGTGGGGCCAAAGGAGGGACAAAGCATTAGGCTGCCTGCAGTCCGCCCATTGGTGAGATCAGAGAGGCCACAGGGACAGCTGGAGCTACAGTGATTTCTGGGTGGCAGGATGGAAGGGCTTGAATTGTGCCCCTTATGCACATTTGAACATTTCCAACAAGCTTACATAGTTTTTTATGACCAATAAATCAAAGATTAAAAAAAAAAAAATACTAGACACCATCCAGCTGTCCCTTCCCCAGCCCTCCCACAATGTCATTCTTGGTCCTTGTATTTTTTGCCTCTGTATGGCCTTCCTCTTAGCCTGTATTCCAGCTGGGAGGCCTCAAAAGGTGGGGGCCTCACCTCCCATGGCCCCCAGCCCCCAGGGCAGCCCAGGAGTCCGTGGCTGGGCTGCTGCCAGACAGGGATGATGCAGACCGGGACCCTGCCCCCCACCCCACCCGCCCTGCTCACCATGCCCCAGGATGTCATCGGTGGGCAGGAGGGCTTTTCCAGGGACAGGTTTCCTGTCCTGAGACCCGGGCTCCACGCCCATGTTGATCCACTCGCTGGGAGTCCGGCAGTCAAACTCCTCATTGTCAAACACCTGGAAGAAACGGACAGAGGCTAGGGGGAGAGAGCTCACCCCTAGAGGGGCCGAAGGGGAAGGGTCTACCAGGGGATGAGGGTGCCTGAGCAGATACAGGAGCTACAGACGGGACCAGGGGGATGAATGCCTCCTCTGCTGTTCACAGGGGCCTGTAGGGTCTGGCTCCATGACACCCTGGATCCCAGTCCAACCAGGCCACCCTGAAGCAGGCAGAGGGGGTATCTGGGGACTCAAAGCAGGATGTGGGCTCTCTCTCCCACTGCCCAAGGATCATCCAGTTCAGACCCAAGGGAAGAGGTGGCCCTTGGACTTTCCTGAGCACCCCACATATGCTCGGAAATGGAGATTCGGGGTTGTTAGGAAGCCACCCTTAGTAGGGTGATCTGGATTCAGCTCTGCCTCCCCGTAGGGACCACCAAGCAAGACACGCCAGGTCATGGAGAAGAAGGGCAAGGAGGCAAGTGAAAGCCAGAGCAGCAGTTCACTTTCACTATGCTCCCTCTTTCTCCTCCCTGGACTCGGTTTCCCCATCGGTATCTCAAAGGGGCTACAATGATGCCCTCCTCCACCTCAGTTCCCCCCATCTCAGTGAGTCCAGAAGCAGTGGTCAGGGAGGTCTGTTCAGCTGGGCTGCTTCTGGTGCCTGGAGGTGGTGAGGGAGCAGGGTAGGCAGAGATTGTGTACACAGCTTCCCCAGGCTCCCAAGGAAGAAGCAGAGTCAGCATCTCAGGGGTTCTGGGCCACTCCTTCCCCAGCCGAGGATGCTCAAAACCCCTGGCAGGGGGCTCCAATTATGCTTGATAAGTGAGTGTTTAGGACTGTCATGGGTTGGGATTAGGATTGGGATCTGACCCCTCAGCCGGGCTCCTGTAGTCCTCCACCCCTGACCGTCAGCCCTCTATGGAAACTAGGCTCACCTTCAGCGGGAGATAGACGGGGAAGAGCGGGTCGTGGCCCTGCTCAATGGTCTGGGGGTTGTGGGGATCTGGGTGCCTAGGCATGAGCGCGTTGGAGTCGATGCCCTCATGAGCCAGCAGCTGCTCGATGTCCAGACTCAGGTACAGCCGCTTCCTCCTGGCCGAGGGGGACAAGGGGATCTCATGACAGCTCAGCTCAAGTGAGGCGGCTTCATAGATGCCAGCAAGGGCCCACAAGGTGGTGGGGGATAGGGCTGTGGCCCAGGGACGCCCCCAGGCCCCCCTCCCCCGCCCCTCTGGAACTCATCAGGAAGTGGTGTGGTGAGTGGGGCTGGTGTCCTGGGCCCCAGCTGCCCTCTGTTCTGCCTGGCAGCTCCACTACGGTGACTTAAAGGCCACGCTCCCCAATTCCACAGCAAGGAAAGCAATGTGTTCCTATTAAGAAACCAAAGGGCTAGAAGATTTACACAGAGACCCATTTTCGTAACCTCTGCCGTGAGGATGGTCACCTAGTTGCCTCCCAGAGGACCGGCCCACCCACTGGCAACTCAGCCGTACCTCTCAATCTCAATCTTGCGGGGGCACTGGCCTGGCAGCACCAGGAAAGGCACCTGCACCTTGGGCTCATAGGCCTGCAGCGGGAAGTCAGTCTGGGTGAGCCTCTGGGTGGTGGACCCAATACACTGCTGCTCCAGGTATTCCTTGATGTCCTCAGGAATCTCAAAGGTTCTGACTGCAGGCAGATGCACAGACAGGGGTGGCAGGGGCTCAGGCCAGGGCCCAGTACGCCCCAAGACAAAGTACGAGGTACCAGGCATGCACGCTCAGAGCTTGCCTATGGCTGGCAGTGGTGAGGAGAAGGCAGATTTGGCACCAGGCGCCCAAGAGAGCTCAAGCCTAGAGGGATGAGGGCCTCTGGAAGGTGTGTTTTGGTCCTGCTCTCCCTGCAAAGAGCCAGCATGCTCAACCGTTCTCTTGCACACCACCCACCCCCGCACCAGTGGCCTTTGCTCAAGCCAGATGCTGAATCAAATGACCATTGGGGATTATAACTGGTCAGGAAGGCGGAGTGGTAGCTCCTTGCCACCCTTACTCCAGAGGCCCTCCTAGGCATATCAGTGGCGAATGCTATTCACCCCCTGGGAGCATTTCCAAACTCAAGGCATCCTGGATACGGTATGAGCAGGTGGCGCCATTACCCTGGCCCTGTGGGACATTCAAGGCACAAAATGGCCATCCCTACTTAGACACCCAGGGCAGACAGAGGCTTCCATTCCAGGTCTGGGGGCAGGACAGCTGGTGGGGAGAGACCATTCCAGTCTGCCTGGAACTGAGGGATGCCCGGGACTTGGGGTGTTAAGCATAAAGGAAAGTCCCGAGAGGTGGGGAAAGGAGGTGTGGGAATATGCTACGGGAGATGAGCCACCTTTCCCAGGAGGTGGGTGGGCTCAGGAAAGCTCAGTGATGGCCCCTGTCCAATCTCCTGGGAGGCCCTAGTGACCCGCTCCTTGGGCCTCACTGCCTCTCTGGAGACAAGAGGTAGTCACACTGCAAGACAGCCCACCTTGGGATTAGCCTCTGGGGCTCCACAGAAGAGAGGCTCAGCAGAGGCCACCCGTTCTCAGCTGAAGTCTGCTCTCCTACCAGAGTTGCCAGGTTCTCAGGGAACCCCACAGTACCAAAAAGGCAGGGCTGAGAAGGCAGTTTTCAACCCCCTAATCATCTGCTTTTGAGCCTGTGGGTCCATGACACCATTCCACTCCCAGGAGCACGGGCTTCTGGGCCCAGCCCTGCAACCCAGGGGCCAAGAAGGAGCCAGAGTGAGGACAACCAAGCCTGGCCTCCAGCCCTGCTGTGCCCATGAGTCCCAGGCAGGCTTCTCAAGTCCTGCCCTTGGCCTTCCAGCTGCAGAGTGGACTGTGGCCGGCTGCCACCACCCTGTGGCATTCTGGGGGACTGCTTTTGCTCAGGCAGGTGGGGCTGCAGTGTTGCCGAGCGTCCCCACCCAGCCCTACCGTGGATGGTGGGAGCAGCGCTGGGCCCACAGATCACTGCTCTGTAAGCGTTTCTGAGCCCCAGGCGTCTGTGAGACTGGAGCGCCATAGCCTGAGGCCTCAGCTCACTGCATGAATGTGCATACACGTGATATTTCCTGGGCTACGTCTGGGGCTTCCCAGATCCCAGGAAGCTCGTGGGCACTGAGAGGACTAATCTGGGCGATACCAGCAAAGAGGCCTCTCCTGGAGCTGGGCCCTCTGGGCCTGATCGAAGGAGGGATCCTGTCTGCCATCCAGGTGGGAGGGTCCCCAGCCAGTTCCTCCCCGCCACTCAGGGCCCCAGCGAGCTTGCTGCCTCTCCTAGAGCCACCCTATTCTCCCCTCTGCTGCTGGAGGCGGCCCCACACCCCTCAGTCCTGTCCCAGACCTTACAAGACTCAGCGCAGAGCCTGAGAGGAAGGAGAGTCGTCCTTCCCTCCTTCAGCAGAGATCTCCTGTGCTAGGCCCTGCTCTAGATGCTGGGGTCCCAGCAGGGACCACTCAGACACAGCCCTGGCCTCCTCCAAGTTCATGGTCCAGGGGAGGGAGAAAATCGAATTTACACATGTAAACACCCTAGTGTCTCCAGCCAGGCAGAGAACGGATGCTCTGGCCCTGAGCAGCCCAGCCCACTGTGGCACCCTCGTGACAGCTCTGCTAAGAGGAACAGAAAGCCGTGCTTCACTGAGCACTAACCGTTAGCTTGGTCCTCACAAAGCACCTTATGGCTTGTTACCCCCATTTTACAGCTGAGGAAACTGAGATCCCGAGCCAAGAAGAAACAATCTCCCTAAGACCAGAGGCCCCGCTTCTAAATGCACCCACTCATCCACCCCTCCCCTCCGGGCACTGACCGTTTGGAGTAAACTGGTCAAGGTCGGCCTGTCGCAAGAGGTCTTGGTTCATGCAGGGACCACGGCATACTTCCTAAAACCAAATCCCAGAGCTCTGAGGGGGTGTAAACATCCTGAGGACAGGCAGGACCTGGGAGGGACCACGAGATCAAGGGTTTCCCCCAAGCCCAGGGTGCACAGGGATGGGGCAGAACCAGTGAGTTTTCACAATTCCTCATTCAGAGGCCACAGTGGACAGCAAGCTGCAGCCACCTGGGACGCCCCAACCCCACCCCCTTCTGGTCCTGCACAGCTCCCCTCCTTCCTCTGAGAACACTCCTGCTGTGTCCGGGGGCTGAGCCACAAGATGGAGGGACCACAAGGCCAGCAGGTGTCTCTGTGCATGTCTCCCCCACCAAGGGCAACTCTGGCACCCCCAGCATAGTGAGGATCAGTGGGGCCTTGCCCTATCTCTCTTGACCCATCCTGGCTAGAACTTTCCTAAGGCTGTCCAGGATTCTGGGGCTCATTGAACCCTCCCCTAGTTATCCCCTCTCCAGCGTCCTCCTACCCCAAGTCTTCATCTGTCCCGTCACCTTCTTTCCTCCTCCCCTACACAGGCCATGGCCTCTGTCAGGGTCCTCAAGCCCCCTGCCAACCACCCAGTAAACACATAGTATGCCACCTTGTCTAAGGAACCCCTCCCCAACCAGAGCTGGGGGAGGACTCCCCCACCAAAGCTACTGCCCCATGACAGAAGGGACATGGATGTCTCATCCTCACTGTCACCAGTGCTCAGTCCAGGGCCTGTCACAGGAGATACTCGGTAATGAACTGTTGAATGAGAAGACAAATAGATGGAGGGACTGATGGATGGACGGTCAGAAGAATGGAGGGGTGGATGGATGGACAAATTACTAGACAGACAGATGGCTAGATGGAGAGAAAGAAGGAAGGTAGGAAGGAAGGAAGGAAGGAAGGAAGGAAGGAAGGAAGGGAGGAAGGAAGGAAGGAGGGATGACTGGAACCCACAGGAGGGCTTGGACTTGGAGGGGACAGCTACCACACTCACCCCAATTTGATCCAAGCTTCCAGGGCTGAGGATGTCAGAGTAGAACCCACGCTGCTTCATCAGGGGGTACTTCTTATCAGTGCCTGTCAGGGGCAACTTCCGGGGCTGCCCCAAGTCTGAGAGCGTGGGTGGGGATAGGGGCAAAGGCAGGGGATTGGGGTCAGCGCTTGGAAGAGGCTTCTCCGACCCAAAATCTGGTCCCAGAAGAATCCTCCCCAGGTTATGCTCTAGGTCTGCATGGGTCCTCTTCAGACTACACTCTTGGCCCACAGGAGTACCATCGCACTCTGGGCTCTGAGGGGTCCTTCCGGGGCTCTGGCCTTCTCTGTTAGGCTGCTCCATGCTGCTTCTCGGGACACTCCTAGGAGAAGATACTGGCATCACTGGGATCTTGCCAGCTTCTGCTCAGCCCCCAGGGGCACCAGGATACAGGGACACCTTGTCTGCATCCTGCAACAAGCCACAGCCCCCCACGCAGGGGTTGGGGAGGGAGAGAGTGGTCTCCTAATCTGGACAGACACACAGTGGCAGGCAGGTCCCACTTGGAGACAGCAGGGCCTTCCCTGGATGTTGCACGTGAGAAATGTCTTAACAAAAGGATATCCTGACCCAAGCAATGCCCTCTCCCCAGGCCCCATCCCATTCCCCACCCCCTGTAGCCAGGAGCTTGTGGTGCAAGGGGCTCTGTTGGCTGGGTGTGTCATGCTCTGTCATCTCCATTTTAGCCACCAGGTGTGCCTGGCTGGTGTAGGCTTCCTGTTGGATCACTGCAGGGGAATCCTGCCTGGATTGATCTGAAAGGCCCCCAGGGTGGGCAGCCAGGACTGTCTGGATCAAAGCTACCCCAGCAGTGCTGAAGCCGCCGGCAGCTGCTGAGTCCATTTCTAAAAAGGGGGTGGGGAGTTGGCAAGGCCACTTTAGGGCCCATGAAAGGCAGATGGGGCTCTGGCAGGAAGCCCCAAACTCTGAGCCCAAAGGCTGACCAGCTTCTAGCCAGTCAGGCGTGGCCTACCAGAACTCAGCTCCCTGAATCCACTCCCTGGTGGCCAGCCACCTCCTGGGGCAGTTGCCAAAAACATTGTTGAGGCTGGCCTATCCTCCTGACAGTCACCAGCCCTTCCCAGAGCACCCTAAAGGACAGGGGACCCACTGGGGCTCAGCCCCATCATGGCTGCAAACCCACAGATGTCTGTTCATCTTTGAACAAAATCACCCAACAGAGCAGCTCTTGGAGAGGTCGGGGACCCCACTCCACAGGAGGGCATCCTACTCCCTGGTTTGCCCAGCTCTCAAATGTGCTTGAATATTTTTGGCTGCTGAGCTGGTGTGTCGTCAGGCTCGGCCAAGATAACAGAGGCAGAAATGTCCAGGAAAGCACAATGTTGCTGGAGGCAAAAGGAGCCTGTGATGGGGGGGTGGGGGGGGTGCAGTTTTTGCTCCTATGAGCCCTCTCCCTCTGAGCAGATTGGCAGTGGGAAACCCATCCAGGCACATCCCAGGAAGGAAGGCATGAGAGTGAGTTGCAAACCCAGAATCCTGTCTCCCCTCCATCCCTCAGCGCTTTACAAAGATCCAAGGCTCCCTTCCCATCCCACCCCAGCTCTGAGCACCTGTACATTGCTGGGTGCACAGGACCTGTGACAGACAGACAGACAGACACACCTCTATCTCCTGTCAGCCCCAAGATGCCTGCGTCTGCGTGGGAACGAGCAGGGCTGGCAAGAGCGTGACGGCACGATTGCCAGCAAGCCTCTGCAGGTCACTCTGGGCACTCTCCCCTATTTGCATGAGGAAACTGGCCAGTAAGATGGCGGGGGAGGCCCCGCCAGGCACAGTGTCTGCAACGGGGCGTGCTATCAGAGGCTTAGATGTAGTTTGTGCAACATCTCATTCAAACCTCTGAGGTGAGAACTGAGACTATCCTCCTTTCTCAGAGCTGGGGAAAATGAGGCTCAGAGAGGTTAAGAGACCTGCGCAAGTTCAGATAGCCAGCAAGAGGTGCGGGTGGAATTTAAACCCAAGGTATTCTTTCTCCCCAGTCAGATCACCTGGGAGTCCTAATAGCTTGGCTAGAGGAAGCTTCAGGGTGCAGTCACTGTCGTTCAACCCCATGTGACCCAACCACCCACCGGGCACTGGCTGGCTGGACACAAATGAACAAGGGCTTTGGATCCCCACAACAAATACTACTCTCATCACTAATCCACAAACAAGGAAACTAAGGTCTAGAGAAGGCAAGAAACTTGCAAAGGACACACAGCCAAGAACTGGGAGAACCAAAATGGAAACGGAGGTCTTCGCTTCTGGCTGACCCAAAGGTCCATGTCCCTAAGCACCACAACCGTGGTTCTCAAACTGTGCACCGAGGAGCCCTGAGGTTCTGCAAAGCGAGTGTGTATTGATTCAATGAAGATCCTGCATCTGTTCCCCACACCAGGTTCTAGGTTAGGTGTCATCTAATAAGGTGATCTGTGGCTTAAAGGATTTTTGACGTCTCTTCCCTTGTTGGTGTTAGCTGGCAAACAATACTGTGGATAGTAGTAACCCCCACAGGCTTGGGGTTCTTTCTACCTTTTTGGAGTACTCTCCTAAGGTGAGCCCCTCCGTGTTCCCTCAGCTGTCTGAAGCTCCTCCCTCCAGTGGACATCTCCCTGTATTCTATGTGCACACCTGTCGGCCCTGCCAGGTGATCATGAGAGCGGCAAATGGAGGAATTTTTGAGTAACACTGATCTCTGGAACCTTAGCACCTAGCACGGGACTGACATGGGCCTGGGACACCATAGGTGCCTAGAAAAGTTCTTGCCAAATGATTTCATGAATGAATGTGGAGTGAGTCAAGCAAGAAAGGAAGTTGATGTCTGTAACCACCCTGAGACAGGTGCAGCGGTACTCTGCGGATTTATATGTGGAGACAGGGAGAACTAAGGGGACCGGACGCAGTGGCGTCAGGAGAGGGACTGAGTGGCTGGTGAGGAGGTGGGCTCCTTCCCTGCAGGGCGGGGAGCGGGGGTAGAGTGTGGCTTCAGCCTCGCCATGTGGGGGGAGGGGCAAAACACCGGCCTAGTAAGTACAGGACTTACCTGCCAGGTTGTTTGTAAGTGCGCCCCACTCCTTTCCCACGGGCCAAGGTTGGGGAAACCGGGTGCGCAGACTCGTAGGCAGGAACGTGGACCCTGCGCCGGGAGGGCGTCCTCCTTCCCGTCCACTCGCCCTCTGCGCCTAGTCGAGGTGCCCCTGCCGCGTCTCGCCCTGCCGACCCTCGGCGCCACCCACTTACCGGCTCCAACGAGCAAGAGTGGGGTCAGGCGACCCGTCTCTAGGGAGGGACGCTGGGCCTGTTGCTAAGGGGCGGGACCATCCGCGCGGCGGGCGGGACTTCCGTCCGCGGAAACCCCCGGGGTCTGCACGCCGCGCCTCCGACACTCCTCCCGCCCTGCGCTCGCGGCTTTCCTCCCCAGGACGGCGGCTTGGGGACCGTGGCCGCCCTCTAGGCTGTCCAGCCCAGGCTCCGTTACCCATCTCCCCTCCCGGACTCTTCTAGAGTAAGAAACAAAACAGCCAAACGCAGTGCGAGGACTTTGATTGAATCCTTGTAAAAATAAATAAAATAAAAATTAAAGTTATGTAAATAATTTGGGGGTAATAATTGAGGAAGTTCGTATCTAAGCCACAGCTGCGAGCCAGATGGTCAGGTCGCTACAGAAAGGGTCGCTTCTGTTCTCTGGCGGCTCAGCTTACACACACACCCCCACCACCACCACCCCCGGACTACAACCCCTCCTCAACCTCCTCAGGGTGGGCAGTGGGTGCTCCTGCCCCCCATCTCTGGCCTCAAGTGCCCATCTCTTCCAAGGACCTGGCATGGGTTCAGGCTTTGATCCTCCTGTCTGTCCTGGTTATTGAATTTCTGTTAATTTTCTTAGATGTGAAAAATGGTATTGTAGTTATACAGGAGACTGTCTTTGTCTTAGCCGATGTGGGCTGAAGAATTTCAGGACAAATGTCAGGATGTCCGCTGCTGTGACTTCCTTTCAAATGGTTCAGCTAAATTTATATATAGATAAGTATAGAGAGGAGATGAAACAAAAGTGGTCCAATACTAACAATTGAGAAATGTGAAAGTTTACAGATGTCCACTGTACTAGTCTTAACATTTTTTTTCTGTAAGGGTAAGAGGTGGGTTACAACCCAAAAGAAAATTTAAAAAAACCATCCCACCTCAACCTGAGAACCCTTAGCCAGAGAGCTTTCTCAGAGTTGGCCTCATTTTGCAGATGGGGAAACTGAGGCTTGGTAAGGCAGGTTGGTGTTGGGGGAGGTGGTAGGACTTGAGGTTCATTAGACAAATGTCCAATTTTATTTGACCTTTTAGCAATGCCAAGTCGGAGCTGGGCACTAAGCTTTCAGATTTGAACTGGATTCTACCTTAAAGTCTTTTGTTGAATGGGAGAGCCAGAGAGGGCAGGCCATGAGGACCCCAGAGGCAGAGTGTAAGCTGTGGCTGGAGACAGTGATTTGGCCTTTGCACAGGCTTCGCTTCCTCTGTCCGGAACACCTCTCTCCACCAACTCCTACTCCTGGCCAACTCCTATTCATCCTTCAAGACCCAGTGCTGGTGCAACTTTTCCTAAGACCAGACTGTGGTGTTATTTGCTTTTATTGTTGGCATTCACACAGTAGGTGCTCAGTGACCATTGCGGAAGGAAGGAAGGGGTATGAGGGGGACTGGAGGCAAAGGTGGCCATAGCTCTTTGAGAAGACAAGGACCCTCAAAGCCCTGTTTAGGGCCAGCCTGGCTCCTTTGTGGGTCTGGGGATAGGCTGTGTACCCTATTCGGCCCATAGAGAGGCACCTGCTTCTCGGCTTTTCCTGGCACTCCCCACCCTGGGTACAGCTGTCCAAAAAGCTGCAGTACCCATCCGGGTTGCCAGGGCAACATCAGCCCATGGTGGGACGTCAGGGATGACAGGGGCAGAGTGCTAATCCTGGAAAGTTGCCAAGCAACGCAGTGGGTTGATGACATCACAGGGGCCATGGCTGCCAGACAGATGGATAGGCCACTGCAGGAAGGGTCCGCTCTCAGAAGGCCAAGCCCACAGATCCACTCACTCCCCCCACCATGAGATGGTCACTGCTGTGTCCCTGGGGGTGTGGGGGCCAGAGGTTGCTTCTTCTCCCAGAAATCCTGCCAGGTCCACTTTGCCTGTCTACAGGTGTGGGCAGTGGGTATGACTGCCTCCCTCCCTCCCTGGCAGGACACTGGGGTCAGTCCTGCTCTCTTGGGTCTCAGATGTCCACCCTCTACTGCCTCCAACTTCCCCAGTGGTTTGACACGGGCTCAGGCTTTGCTCTTCCTGCCCTGCCCTGAAGGCTGCCACACCTACCTGTTCCCTGAGGGAGGAACAAGGGGCTGAGACATGACCCTAGCCTGGGCCCCTGCCCCTCCTGTTGTGGGACGGCAGTCTTCTGCCCTGCATGGACTGGAAGGGAAGCCAGTCTTGCTCTTGTTGAAATAGGGAAGACTGGGTTCCTTCAAGAGCTTGTGCATGGCGGGGGGGGGCGGTTCTCTACCCCATCTCTGGTGGGCTGGAAGCTTCGGGCTTGGGCAGACACGCCTTTCGGGCAGGAAGTCTAAGGGCATGGAAGGTCTGGGCTGCCCCTCCCCTGTGCCTTCCTGCTGCTGGTGCTGAGGCTGGGAGCAATGCTTCACCGGCTGCACAGATGAAAGCCCCATGTGAATAGGAGGCAGAATGAGCCGGAACAGAGGGCGACAGGCATCCAGACAGGATGGCTGGAGCTATCCGCTCCCCACCTGCCCCCAGGCAGCCTCTTGGGCCCCCCAGGATCTCCTTCTGGTTTTCTAGGCCAGGAGCCGTGAGCTGCTGCTGAGAGAAACTGAGTCACAGGCATGGGGGCTTTCAGAGGACTGGGGTTTGAGGTCCGGGGTTCACCCTCTCCCTAGGCCTCCTCTGATCCTCCCCCTCTCTGCCATTGGCCAGCTAGTTTCAGCAGCTCTGACCAGCATTTTCTTTGATGAATAAAAATGGAGACAAATTAATTCTCCTTTGATCCATGAGGTCAGCTTGACAGACAAGACCTTAAAAGCCCAGAGCTCAGGGAGGAGTAGGAGTTCCTGGGGGACTGGAAGATTGAGGACCCCTATG